TTTTTTTTTTCTATTTTCAATCTTTTCAGGTTTTAATTGTAACCATTTTTTTTCCCTTACAATAAAATAGAGAAGTTCTATTTTTATTGGTTGTGTTTATTAATTTTGAATTTTATTTCTTCTTATATTTCTTTGTAATGGCTTTGCTGGAGAATTGGCTATTATACTAATAGCTATTCATGGTGAAATTGCATGGAAATTAAGTTATAGAATGTATTGTTTCTTTCTGGATGTTCATAAATGGGTGATTTTTTTTATTACACTATAGAATGAAATGAAAGTAAAAAATATCTTATCAAGTATAGTGCTCATATAAAAGGTTTTATATTGGAAGACAAAAACAAGGGGTTCTAAAGGACACCAAAATATAAACATTAGGGATCACATAAATCATCGCCTTGAAATTCTTTTCCATCCTTCGAAGCCTTCTACCACAAAACACATTAGAGAGGAGAGGAGACGACCGAGCGCGGGAAACAGGAGAGCAGACGACCGACCGACTTGGGTGTTCGCCGACAACTGACTTAGGTAAGCTGCGACAGTGAAACATCTTCTCCGACGACTACCACCTATGTTCGAAATCCCTACCGCCATGCATAGGAGATTTGGTAAGTTCCTCTTCTGATTTTTTTTTTTGCATTTGTGATAGGTGCAAATCTATTGATTTTTGTGATGCATTTGAGATGTCTGCAATGGTCTGGGCTTTTTTTTTTTTCATTGGTTGTATGGCCAATGTTTTGGTAGTGATGCATTCCAGGTGTTTGATGAAAGTCCATCAATTATGATGCATTCCAGTTTAATGAAAATAGTAAATTCTGATGGTTTGTAATTTTCTTAATGAAAATAGTAAATTCTAAGGAAAATGATTTAGAGTAAATTCTGATGCATTCTAAGGAAAATGGAAATAGTAAATTCTGATGCATTCATATATGAAATGGTTTGTAATTTTCGTAATGAAAATAGTAAATTTTGATGCATTCTATGAAGTCAGAATTATGTTTATTGCTTGAATGTGATGGGAATCAGTTTAAATTTGTGAAAATATGGTTTGTTCTTTTTTCTTTTCTTTTTTTCCAATTAGTGCGGCTTTTTTTGTGTACAAAATGTGAGGGGTTTTGGACATACTTGTCATACAGTCTGGTTTGGGAGGTGAAAGAATACATGGACTGAATTTCTGTTAATACACTCTACCTTTTAACTATCTACATTCACTTACACTTTCTTTTATGTCTGTTTACTGGTTATGTAGACTGAATTTTTGTTTCAAGTTATATGCGTCAATGGACATTGATTCAAATAATCCTTCATTGAATGGGAGCGAGGAAGTTGAAGAACCGGAAACGAATCCTTTGTTTGTGTCAATGCTGCATTTTTTTTTTTGTTAGAGTCAATGCTGCTGCTGCATTTTATTAGAACTACTTTGATGACTTTGGTTTGACTTTTGTTTGCTGCTGCTGCATTTGTGTTGTTGCTGTTGGTGTGTCAATGTTGAACAAAATTCATCTGCTGCTGGTTGAACTCAATGTTGCTGCTGCTGCATTTTGTAGATGAATTTTGTGCAGCAGCAGCAGCTGGTTGAACTCAACTATTTTCAATCCCACAAATTTTAATCTTCTATTTTCAATATTTTCAGGCTTTATTTTGATTTTGAATTTGTTTTTGTTTTTTGTAGCTTTGAGTCGGTTGGAGTTAGGAATTTCATGCTCTACAAGAAGCCCAAGATAGAGAATGATGCTGCCATTGATGATGAAAAGCAGAGGATTGACAGGAAGGGGAATGGAGAAGTTCTGTTTGAGGCTTTAATTGTAACCATTTTTTTTTTTTTCTATTTTCAATCTTTTCAGGTTTTAATTGTAACCATTTTTTTTCCCTTGCAATAAAATAGAGAAGTTTTGTTTTTATTGGTTGTGTTTATGAATTTTGAATTTTATTTCTTCTTATATTTCTTTGTAATGGCTTTGCTGGAGAATTGGCTATTATACTAATAGCTATTCATGGTGAAATTGCATGGAAATTAAGTTATAGAATGTATTGTTTCTTTCTGGATGTTCATAAATGGGTGATTTTTTTTATTACACTATAGAATGAAATGAAAGTAAAAAATATCTTATCAAGTATAGTGCTCATATAAAAGGTTTTATATTGGAAGACAAAAACAAGGGGTTCTAAAGGACACCAAAATATAAACATTAGGGATCTATTAAACATTAGGGATCACATAAATCATCGCCTTGAAATTCTTTTCCATCCTTCGAAGCCTTCTACCATGGTCATGAATTTCAGTGTCCATCTCCGAAGAAGAAGCCATTTTAATCTGCATAAACAATGAGAATGTAATATATATGTACAAAACATATGGGTGTGATTGCAACTTATGCATACAAATCCAGCAATTCATTGTTAACTTTCCCCAAAATAGTATTTGAAATTCCTTTTTCTTAAATCCCTATGTTAACTTTCCAAAGAAGTCAATGGAACTCTCCAAAGAAGTCATGTGCATAAAAGGGGACTGCTTGCATGAGTTTCATATATACTTGCTTGATGACAAGGTGTGAAGCATGAATCAGTGTGAATAATGAATCAGTGCTAAATAGTCAATGGAACTCTCCAAAGAAAAGGGTGAGAAATTTTTATTTTCTTCTATGAATAATGAATCAGTGCCAAAGTACTTTCAGTGGACAACAAAAACCATATATATCTCATTTACAACTTGCTATTATAATTTTTTAGGACATGGAAAAATTATTTAGGTGAATTCTGTGATGGTTATCTAGGGAATAGGTTGCTGGATAGTGTTGGTTGTAGCAAGGGAATATGCTGAAATGGACATTCTATTGTTGAGGTCTTAGAACTGATTTGGTGAAAGCATGTGGAATTTCTCGCAATTTATTGCCTCAAAGGACAAAGATTTTTGGGGCTGGTTCTTACTCATATTTGGCTCTGTTTTCTTTGTGGGTTTCTTCTATGCTGCAATTATATCGAAGTTTCTTCCACCATCTGATAATGCTCTCATATCTGCTATACAAACCGACAGGTAAGCTTTTGGTATATATAAGTCTTATGTCTAATAAAATTATTTAACATTACTTGGTATCGTTGAGTCCTGTTTTAAGCCTAATTGGGAGCTTTAGTGATTTATAGCTTTATCTAACAAAACAACTTCACTTGCTTAATGCCAGGATATTAGGTAGTTTATAAAATTGTATCAAACACTGCCTAGACATTGTATCAAATGGATTGCCTATTAAATTTTTTTACCTGTTTAACACTGCCCATACATTGTATCAAATGGACAGTGTTGAAAATTTTATTCATGTTCAACAGAAAATTTCACCAACAAACTAATATGTAGCAGTGAAAATCATCAAATTTTTCATTCAAACAGCAGAACATATATACATACAATATATCAATGAGTCAGGCAAAAAGGAAAAACACAAAACCCCAATTTCTTGAATCAGGCAAAAGGGGAAAACATGAAACCCCAATTTCTTGAATCTTCAAACCCTAGTTTTGTGATGTCGAGTTTACCTGAGATTCATTTTCAATTGGTCGGTAATCCAATGTATTACAAGTTTCTGGCACTGAGAGGAGTTAAATCAGTATAGTCGAATAAGAGGAGCATGAGATGGGAGGAGTATCCCGCTGACCACCAAGTCGGAGGAGAATGATGAGAGTATGAGAACTTTCCGCTGTGGAGGCGGATGAGGTAGTCGAATGGAGTCGGATGTCTGCGTCGGAGAGGTAGTCGGATAGTCGGATGAGGAAGCGATGACAAGGTTTCAGGTGGAGAGGAGAAGAGAGGAGTAAGGGGATGAGAACGATAGGGCTTTAGGTAGAGAAGGAGTTTGGGTCTGAAGGACAGAGATAGAGAAGTAGCGCGTGACTTCAAAGTATCGAGCCGTTTCGAGCCAATATATTCGAGCTCTAAATCATTTTCCTATCGACTCTGCTACGTAGCTCGAAATATCAACGGCTCGAATAGCTTACAAATTCAAAACGCCGTCGTTTTAGGATTTTTTTTTATTCTCTTACCGGTAAGATAATATTTTCCGTACCATTCAAGCCATTCTAGCTCTCACGCATTTTCCTTTTTCTATTTCGTATTCTAGGAGTGTGTGTTATAAACAAATTATGATATTTGTAATATTGATTATTATAAATGTCATAATTAAATTTTTTATAATTATGATTGAAAAGATAATGAGTCACAATCAAATACACATAAGGAATAATTAAAAAAAAAAAAATTATAATCAATATAATAATCATAATATGTAACACTCCGTTTTTTTAATTCCACTTAAGAAGTTTAAGGTTGGATTTCTCTTTTGTTGTTTGCTCGGTTCATAGGCTCGGAGAGTGGCCACTCTGGGTCCAATTGTTTGCTCGGTTCATAGGCTTAGAGAGTGACCACTGATTTTCCAATTTATATGCTTGGTCTGGGTCCAAAAGAGCTTACGTAGACTGAGTTCTCAATCATTAAAATAATAATAATAATAATAATAATAATAATAATAAAATAAATAAAAAGGAAAAAGAAGATAGATTGAATGAGGTTGGTAAAGAATTTGAATATAACTAATTAATTAATAACTAACATCACAATAAATTATAATTAATTATCACAAATGTCATAACTGAAATATACGATACACACTACAAAAAAAAGGATACATATCATAGAATTTTTCAACATGATTTTTACCGACTAAGCTAAGCAAAGAAGTCTAAAATTGAGCAGTTTTTGAGTATTTTTGTAACATGCTACTTTGTTCCAATTGTATAGGATGAGGTACACAATAGTGTTTTATTTGACAGTTGTTATCTATATAAAAAAAATTACTTAGAATTTTATTTATAATTTATAATTTGTGAATAAGATTAACTCTGCGTATAGTTTACAACACATTAATTTTAATTTTACGTCTTATATTTCACTCTCATTGTAAAATTTTGGGTAAGCCTTTTCATGGTACTTAAAATTATTGTTTGTTTAATAATATGAAAAGTGATAATTAATAATTGAGTAGTATTATGAAAACATAAATATATATATATATATATATAAACCATACATAATGACTTGGGAGTGGTTTGGGATGATTTAAATAAATGTACTTTTTGATTTTTTACAAAATATGAGTTAGATATGGGTTGGATTTGAAGTGATGTGTTAGAGAGGTGATGTAACTGAAATAAGATGATATGATTTAAATATGATAGTGATTTTTTAACTTTTTAACTTTTTTAGATCATGCCAAACAAGGCCTTGATTAAGTTTTGAACATGTTACGTTCTATTAGGCCTCGTTTGGGAACAGGCTAATTTAGTAACTTTTTGGCTAATTGAGTAAATAGGTAACATCCCAAACGAGGCCTTAGTATCCAACAATTTTTCATCAAGAGAAAGAGTAGAAATAATAATAGATTGAAATCTTTGAGAGAGAGGATAAAGGAATGAAAAATGCTTATGACCCTTATAATAGGAATGAAAAATGCTTAATACACTTATAATAGGATAACTATTAAGTAGTTCAAAAGCATAATACAATTACGTAGTGAGAAATTTTGCAAGCGAAACATGCTGACTCTTCTTTATTAAATGGTTAGAAGACAATAATGATTCACTCACGTTTTCTCATTCGTTAATAGTATTAAATAGATATTGTTACATGGTAGTATATTATAATTTTTTTATCCTTAAATTTTCCCCAATAAAATAGACTATTACATGTCATTGTTGATTGATTTATTTAAGAATTAATCAATTAAAACCAAACTCTAAATACGTCAAATCTATACTATATATTAAATAAAATGGAGTTTTTAACCTCAAGACTTGTGGGAGATTTAATATCTCAATGTGAATTTTCTAAATTTTTTATTAAAAAAAAAACTCAGCATTTATTGATTTGGTCAAAATCCCTTGATTAACATTTATTAACTTTTTTCAATCCACATGTTTTTTCACATGTCTGCATTTATTGATTTGGTCAAAATTTTCTGATCAGCATTTAAAATCCCCTTATACAAATAATTATAGATACAACCTGTATATAGTTACTGCAGTACCTTTTTTAACTTTTTTCATACACTATGGTTAGTGATAAGATTGTTAAATTATTTTTATAAAAAATATTAAAAAACATAATTTATATATTAAAAAAAAATCTAAAACAAATATAAATATCTATAATTATCCAGAAAATAATCATAGCTGTGAATCTGTTGAGGGAGCAGGATAGATGTGAATGACACATGTTATGACCTTATTATAGGAATGAAAATGCTATACAACTTATAATAGGATAATATTGGGGAAGTACCGTCTCACAAAGCAATAACATAAATTAGTAGTAGGAGGAAATTTTTGCAAGCACGTAGCAACAGAGTGCAGTGAAATGGAATGCTTCTTATATTAAAATGGTACAGATTAGGGGAATAATGATATTCACGTCCGTTAATTCTTCAGTTGTGTTAAATAGTATTCAATATAGCAATATTGTTCATAGGTGGGTCATAATTATAGCATTTTTTTATGTTCACACAAAGCCATTTGGTTGTGTTTACGCACCAAGAACAATGTTTACGATCTATACATGTCATTGTTGATTGATTTATTTAAGAATTAAGTTAATTAACTAACCAAACTCTAAATATACGTCATGCTATACTATTATAGATTATAATAGATCAAAAATGGAGTTTTTAACCACGCAAAGACTTGTGGGTAGATTTTCATATCTCAGGATCGTGAATTTTCTAAATTTTATTAAAAAAAAAACTCAGCCATTTAATTCTGATTTGTCAAAATACCTAGAATTTCTCTATACAATTTGGTAAATTTTTCACATGATTTTTCTTATTTTTTGAATGATTTATCGCTATCCGGAGCTATCTGGTCTGATCTACTGACTTGCTTTAGTGTGATGTTAAGATCCTAAATTCCTCATTGTATACTTAGCATCTACAAATTTCCTTCACTACAAATAATTTTATAGATACAATCCGTGCATAGTTACTTGAGAGTTTTTTGGGTGCAAAATACTACTGCTATATCTTGTCAACACTCAAACTATGGGTCCAGTCAGATAAGATTGTTAATTTATTTTTTATAAACACATCTTTTAAAAATATTAATGTTAAGTCTATATTAGAAAAAATTAACCAGAAACCAAATATAAAATCTATAATTATCTCGTGCAATAGCACAAATCATTAATATGAATTCTGTGAGTGTATTTAGCAAATTACAATAGTAATATTATTTATGCACCCTTATATATTTCATTTACTTTATGTCTTGCTCGCATTTGTAGTTCTCCATTAATTACAATATTTTGGTTTAAGCTCAGCTTATATTAAAATTCTCTATAAAATCAATTTTTGGACTTCTCTCTGAGTGACATCCTATGTTATCTTTATCTTGTTTATTTTATTTTTAAACAATAAATATCTATATCTATCTATTCTATACTTATCTATATATAAGAAGCAAAATGGGTGTTTTAACCCCCAAGACTTGGACGTTTTAAATTTCATATCTCAATTTCTAAATTTGTTTTATTAAAAATAAAACCTCAGCATTTTTATTTGGGTCAAAATTCCTTGATCAGCATT